CACCCCTCCTCACCCACTCTGAAGAAGGCCAATGTCGTTTCGTCTGCAGGGAAGGTGATGGCCACAGCTTTTTAGGATGCAAAAGGCATTGTATTTATCAACTATTTTCAAAAGTGCAAAATTATATATATATATATATATATATATATATATAGATAGATAGATAGATAGATAGATAGATAGATCTAACTTTCCCCAACATTTTATTAATTCGTAATAATAATACACATTGTGTGGTTAAAAAAAAATAGTGTCAGTCAGTGGAGTACTAAGAGAAAAGAAATTAAGGCAATATTTTTTTTAAGCATTTCACCTCAAGCCAGGCGGGAGTGCCACTAGCAGACAAGGGGTAACAGAGAGTGGGAGCAAGAGTAAAGAGGTGTGATTGAGGAAAGGATGAAGAGAAGGACCGGGAATGGATCATGGTATCTGGAGATGGCGATTGACATTACATTTGAATAGTTGGAGATTATAGCTATCAGGGAAACAAGTAATAGGAAGGGAATTCCACAGATAAAAAGTGCGGGACATGAAGCTATTGGAGTAGAAGAGACGGCTACATTTAACCGTTTCTTCAGTGAAAGGGTGGCACTGAAATGCTGACCTTGTGGCACGTTTAAATTCATACAGTTTGGAAACCAGCGAAAATAGCTCGTCGGAGCAGTTACCGTGAAATTATCTGTAGAAAAGGCAGAGGGAGGCGACGACACGTCTGTGAGAGAGTGGCTGTAGACGAGATGCCAGATCAGGGCCAATCGCATTGCATATCCGTGTCTAGATTTTGTCGAGGACCTTGAGACGAACAGTGGAGTCTCCAGACCATATATGGCAGCAGTATTCCATGCAAGGGCGAATGGTTGATTTATAGATTTGAACGATGGACTCGGCAAAAAAAAAAAATACTTTCTGGCTCGACACAGAATAACCAGCTTTCCTTGTGGTAGATGAAGCTATTGATTCAATGTATTTGTTCCATCTTAGGTCAGCGAACAGCGTGAGACGAAGCAGTCGCAGAGAGGTGCTCTCGTGGGGTTGAGAATCAGACATTCTAATGGGAGGCAGGGTATGTTCTCTGTGGTGGATAAAAGAGAGCAGTTTTCGAGGCATTAAAGATAACCAGCCATTTCTTGCCCCAGTTAACAACAGATTGGAAGTCCTTTTCGAGACCAAAGGCCATATTAGTTTTGTCAACGATACCGGATTTGCTATTGAAGCAGGAGTAAATAGTAGTGTCGCCTGCAAAGGTGCCTACTTGGGAACTGACGACATCGGGAAGATCGTTAATGAAGAGAAGGAAGAGAATAGGGCCCAGGATAGAGCCTTGGGGAACTGGAGGGGAATCCGTTAAGGACGACCTATATATATATATATATGATGGAGATCACTATGCCAACTTGCTGAAGCAGTTAGGAAAAGCTGTGAAGACCAAATGCCTCAGAAAGCTGACGAATGGTGTCTTGTTTCATCAGAACGATGCTCCAGCAGATAAGTCCTTGATTTCAATTGGCTGATGTGCACGACTGTGGTTGATCACCCTCCCGATTATCCTAATTTGGTCACATCTGACAATCATCTGTTACCCAAAATGAAAAAAACAGTTTGTTGGGAAGCATTATCACAGTGATGATGACGCCATTTTTGTTGACTTTCACATTTTTTGACCAACAGAATGAAAGCTTCCTCGCCAATGGGAACCAAACGCCGCAACACCGATGGAAGAAGTGTGTGGACCGCAAATGGGACGATGTTATCAATACATAATGTCAATACAATTCCGTGAGAATGTCTTGGTTAGGCTATGAACGTTTCAGCCGATTTCTGGTACATCGACTTAATTTTTTTTTTGAAGCGTTATCACCCCGAGCATGGTAGGGCAGCCACTAGCACGCAAGGGGTTACAGGGTGTCGAAGAATTAGGAATGGAAACATTAATAATGAGCGGGAAGAGAAAAGATCAATCAGGAAGACAGTAGATAGCGATTGACATTGCATTTAATTTTTTTTCAGATTAAAGTTGGTTGGAAAGCATGGAGCCGGAAAGGAGTTCCACAGGCGAGAAGTTCGAGAAAAGAAACTGTCAGTATAGAAGTTACGTCTACATCTAACCAGCTCAACTCGAAATTGATGAGATCTCGACGCTAGTTGATCACCCTTTCTTGATTTGGATCCATCTGACTATCATCTGTTCCCCAACATGAAAAAAACACATGGCTGGGAATCAGTATCAAACTGATGATCATGTCATACCAGCTGTTGATGACTTTTTTGACCAACAGGATGAAAGCTTTCTCACCAATGGGATCCAAGCACTACAACACCAATGGAAGAAGTCTGTGCTCAGCAAGGGGGATTATGTCAAAAAATAAACCAAATTTGGTTAAATTCCATGAGTATATCATGGTCTGCCTGTGAACTTTTCAGTCGACGCACGTGTATCCTCTTTTATCCTTACTGCCTGAAAAAAAATTATCGAACAATATTCCTCTGAAATATATTTTCTGCTTTTCATCGAAATCTTACCCTGAACAAAAGAAATCTATAATGTTTTTTTCTTTTATGACATTAATTGCTATTACGAGGGTGCTATATATCACCGTTGTTGTTGGCATTGAGCCAAGGCTTAACAATCTTCACGGTAGCAAATGCTGTTAATAACCGCTTCTCCAACCCCTTGTCGTTGACAAATTATTCTTCCCTCTTCAACCTCTCTCTTTCTAAATTATAAAGAGACTTTATGTACACCTTGTATAAGTTTAGCTTAGTTTTTCCTTCCATTTGTGCTGATAGGCG